TGCAATTACTTCGCCCAACTATCCGGAGCTATTTATGGTTTATCCTGCATCACTTGGCCTATCACATTCAAAACTTAGGAATTTAAGACAACGCTAACAAATACAACTTGTTACCACGTTAAACGTTTATATTCTATATAGAAAATAATAATAAGAGGTTATGTTATGCACAGGAAAGTATACAAACCGTTTCCATACTATTTTAGTATACCAAGACACTACTTGTCGCTGATCTTTGTCGGGAAAAATGTGCTTTTATATAACGACATTTTCAAAATAAGGCTTCATATAGGAAATAATGGTAAGAACGATCCCGATCTGAATGAAAAGACTTTCATATATATATATAAATAAACATCATAGATAGATATCAGATAAATACCGTGTGAGCTTAATATATTTTGTATGACAAATTCTGTCGAGTATGATTAATACGTACGTACATAGCTACGTACTTACGATGGTAGGAAAAATAGGTGAAAACACCGCGAATATATATACATATATATATACGGATAAATACGGATTGATATTGTTTCGAAAGTCGTTGTTGCTTTGATAGTGTAAAAATAAGTGAAAACATCGCTGTCGGCAAAGACGATCATTAAATACCCTACATTGCTGCGTTGAATGCAATTATTTGATTATTTTCGCTTGCTTTTCACGAGAATGGGTCTGAAATGTGAACCGATCTTGGTCAAATATGTCAAAGATTATCACTTCACTTTTATTTTAACATATTAAATATTAAAATTTATTCACATATATGAAAACTTACTTTGATGATGAGAACCGTTTTATTGGATGAGATCCGAAAAGTAAATGTACGCGATCCATACTTATCCTAAATAAATTTTGATTATCAAATGCTATTAGAATTTCGATTTTTCGAAATATTTGGAATAAGTTCAAGTTGCTCGTATTATCAGATTGATGACATTTTGGCTTTTGGCACTTTATAAGAAGACCGTGCTTGGAGTTTTTGAATTTTGAAAAAATGTTTTCTCAAATTGTGATTCATGTCGTAAGCATATTCGTATCCATTAGCTTTTAAATTTTTCAAAAATAAGTTGACTTTTAAACCGGTTAAAATATATCGCTTATAGTTGCGCTCATAATAGAAGTGTTGATGGTGATGTGACGAAAAATTATTCATTATAACTAAACAAATGAATAAAATTTGTTTATAAATGTATTATTATTATTACGATGCAAAGGTCTATTTGACATTTTATACATATCAAAAATGTAATACATCGTCTTTCATAGCGATGCGCTTTAGATTTAGCATTGGATTAAAGATGGAAACAATAGCTGAATCGTTATTAACTGAAAGGCAAGAGAAAAATTACATATATATGTATGCGCTAATTGCATTAGTAAATGTGTTTTGTGTCAATTTTTGCTATTATCCAAACGTCAAAGGTTGAACTGAATTGAAGCTGAAGCTGAACTTTTATATAAGTCACAACTAAAAGTGAAGCTTGAGCCGAATCTTTTAATATCCAATGCTGCATTGACTGACTGCAAGACGAATCGAGATTCCTCCGGTCATTCGATATATCGTTCGTATGTCTTATCATATAGCCGGTTAGCCAAACTAAAAACGATCCCATATATAAATATAATATGCATAGTTTGCGAGCGAACAACTGATTCGATTTAGCGGACTTTCGAGCTGAGCAAAGAAAAAATTCAATACAAAATTTCAGGTTATAAATGAAAAATTTCACAATTTTAAGATTAATTGCAAACGGAATTATGGATCGACGTGGATCTTATCGATTTTCGAATTGACCCCGTTGCAAACAATAAGAAACGATTTCAAAAGTAAGCTTGTTCTTTTAGTTACACTTTTAGAATCGTGATTAGTAAGGAACGAACGAACCACCGATATACACATATTGCACATACACATGAGTTCATCTTAAGTGAAAAGCAATCGAGGCCATAAGACAAAATTTTCCTGTCTAACCGGGCCACGCGACTCTGCCTGCTTTTTTTACTTTGCTTCGTCTTTTAGAGATGGAAGTATATAAGTATATAAGTAATATGAGGGGTTGACCAATCCTATTCCAACTCCACTACATACTTCGGCTACCCTCCTCTGCAAGGAAAAGGAGGAAAATTGTCGCAGGTATGCAGAGTGAAGGACAAATTTTTTTCCTTCAATCAACGCTGACATTATATATTATATATATATATATATATATATATAACTGTGTATATATATATATATTATATATATTATATTAGTAATAGAAGAATAATATATATATATATATATATATTTATTTAGTTTTTTTGAAGATAAAACTGTGGAACTATGTTCCACTGACAAACATTGAACATTTTCCCGTTATAGACAAAAAGTCGTCAAAGAATCAATTACATTTATATGTGTACTGTCATCGTCCATAATTACCAAAATTTCCAAGTTTTTTGAAAAACTGATGAAAGTGAAGTGGGCGAACTTTCTTCGCAACGTTTTTTGACCGTAATTACGAACGGACTTTTAAAAGTGCCAAGCATATGGTAAGTCCAATATGGCCCCTGTGTTGGATTTATTTTAAAAATGTTATATACATTAAGGCACTAAATACCAAGTTGATGCCTTTTTCGCATATTAACGCGTATTGCACGCAGGTAGCGAGTTCGCTTATAGCTAAAGATAAAGTGCATCCATTCCAATTTGATTTGATTGGCTGCGATAATTTCAAATACAATAAAATAGTTTGAAACAGGTGACAGCTTGCTAATCTTTAAAAAAAACTAGATGACCTTGCGGCTTTGCGCAGAAAAATGACGATCATACAAAGCGCACAGCATAGCATTTAAATCTGAGCTAAAACACACAGTGGCACACAATTATCACAAAATTAATGTTTTCCCTACGTATATAAACTATGCATGCATACACATACAAATTAAATTGTCTAAAAAGTATTAAAACTTCAGGAGGTCAAAATTATATGTATATATATATATATATATATATATATATAAATATTTATTTATTTATTTCAGTCAATCCAGTTATATATTGAGATTCGAGACGTATTGTTGTCCAATGCTATCAACATTAATGCATTTAACCATTTTTTTTTTTTTTTTTTTGCTAATATTTTATATATCTTTTTTTACTAATAGCCTATTTATATATAATATGTACTTATATAAAAAAATATACATGCAAGTGCATTTGCAATTTTATAAGAAATATTAAGAGCATTTTAGCGACAACGATGTAAAAAAGCGTATTGACGCTTAGCCTGCAAAAGCTTAATTACAACGATAAAACTATAAAAGGCTGCGAAATCATTTAACGAATCTCGGTTAGTTGCTAAATATGTTTAAAAAAATTTGTATAATGAAACGCTAAATGAATGCCTAAGACATAAACATCAACATAATGGCACGGTTGATTGGTCTAAGCTACATATATAATACACACTGTATTATGCAAGAATTACGAATGTAGCGATCTGCGACTTAAGTAAGGTCCGAACCGAGCATTCCGAACAAGCAGCACAATGCTGTGTTTGCCATTCGATTGGAACCTAAAACATAATTATTAAACAACAACCGATAAAAAGAAATGTTAGTCGAGAAAAGCATTAATTATTGATGAATACATATACATATATTCATATGTTAGTTAAGCTTTAGTATGAACACATTTACGAAATACTCTCCAAATCGATGCATAGCACACAGCAAGAAAATAATATTGATTTTGTTCGTATTTTTTATTTAAATGATATCAAAGTGAGAATTGAAAAGACACATCGATATCCGTGAGGGCAATATAATCATATACGGTGTTAAGGTGGAAATGGAAGCATGATTTCTTTAAAACAATAATTGTGAATAACTATGGATTCGTTGCTGTTGTTGAGACACTTTTTCAATACTTCTTGAAGCAAAATAATTTCGGTTACATTATCTGTTCACTATTTCGAATAAATATGTAATGATAATGTGTTGATAGTGGTGGTAGATCGATCATCAGATAGACAGGACAAATCGAATAGATCGGATCACTAATCACTAATTATTTTCATCATAGATAAGTTGTCTCTAAGCGAAATATATTTGTTATGATCTCAAAATAATATATGTCAGTTTGGATGGGGCTTCTATTCTGGCGCAAGACAATAACATTTCCCCACCTTCTAAACTAAGCTGGCCAGATTAAGTCGCTCATTATGTTTCCTTAATGCTCCCAAGAAAAGAGTATAAAGAAATGCTTTAAAAATTCTCCAATTGTTGTGTGCTATTCCTAAGTTCCTATAACACGTTCACTTACCAAACTGCCGTCAATTAAGTTTTTATGAAAATTAAAATTTGCTTGACCTTGAGAACATGCAAACTTCATGCAAAACTTATAAATTATATAACTTAAATGATGAATGTAAAAAAAAAAACAAAATAAATAAATAAAAATTTTTTTATAAATATACGAACAAAGTTATATTTGGCTTGAGCCGAATTGTTTAACAGCATATATTTCTTAAATAATGGTTTGCAGTGCAAAGATCGAATTTACTTAAGTTCAGATGCGATCTTTTGCCCATTATGAACGACTCCTCTGTGAGGTTCTAATATGAAGGAGATGAGAGAGAGAGAGAGAGAGAGAGAAAGAGAGAGAGAGAGAAAGAGAGAGAGAGGACAATTATTCAGTTTATTAAAAATTATCTTCTCACCATTAAGGCGGAGAAGGCGAGAAGTCAATCAAATCAATTCAAAAATATGAAAATATTATCTTCAGTTGCCACAACAATAAATATATCTCTGTCATGTCATATCGAAAATGATAACCAGTGGATCGTTTGCGGGCCCTTTACAAGTTTTGTGTACACGGAGGTGTATTAGAAGGTGCATAGTACTTGCACAACATAAGGCAAGAGCACTGACAAACCCATTCAGAGAAAATCTATTTTTTATCATATAAATATAAATTGTGTTTGTAACAAATTGTTTCTTTTATATCATTTCAGATATTAGCCGGAACATTCAAGTTCTTATATGTGGTATGTTTGATTGTAGTACTTCTCTCGCCGACAACGGATAGTGCTCAAAGTAAGTTCATTTCCTTTTCGTCCCTCGCTCCCTTCCCTTTCCACACTTCTTTCCGATGGTCACGTTGTAAAGTTCCACAAATAGGGTGATTTTCTCTGAGTGATTGGTCTTATCACACAAAGTCAATAATTTTAACGCCGCGGATTCGGTTGTTCCCAAAACTACAATTTTTATTTTGAGATTGAATTTGAAAACTTCAAGCGACCACAGACGAATCTACCGAGTGATTTAATACGAAACTACATTTATACTATGTCATTTAATCATAAGATTTTAATTTAGATGCGAATAAAAATAGTAACGGTTCTTAAGATTCATTTTAAAAGTTTCGAGCTGAACGCCAACTGACAATGGCTTTGTGTATGAACTTAATATTTGAATGATTGTTGTTGTTGTTGTTGACAATGTAGCCAAAACTCGTCGAAGACTTAGACGCCCAACTAATGGATCTGATGAATCGGCAGCGTCTGATTCTACGCCAGTTGCGCGCAGCACCAGAGTTACCGCCAAGAAAGCAACAAATCGATCAACAGATGTAGCGCAGAAACGCATTGATCAAGACACATCCTCGTCAACTATAGCAGTAACACGATCTCGCACGCGTCCCAAATCTAAGCTGCGCAGCAGTGCTTCTGCCGCTAGTAGTGTACTTGTGGCCAGTGGTTCCAGTCTGAAAAGCAAAAAGACTAAAACTGATGATGGCAGTAAAAAAATTGTTTGCTATTATACAAATTGGTCCCAATATAGAACAAAGGTTGGGAAATTTGTGCCCGAAGACGTTCCTGCCGACCTATGCACACATGTCATTTTTGCTTTCGGTTGGTTGAAAAAGGGAAAATTAAGTTCCTACGAAACCAATGACGAAACCAAAGATAACGTTCCCGGTTTATACGACCGCATAATGACTTTGAAGAAAGCGAACTCAAAATTAAAGGTAAACCATTTTTTTTTTTTAGTGATGAACCACTATTACAGCTTTTTAAATTTTTTGGTTAGATATTATTGGCTTTGGGAGGTTGGTCGTTTGGCACCCAAAAATTTAAGGAAATGTCTGCAACCAGGTACACTCGCCAAACGTTCATTTATTCCGCTATACCGTTCTTACGTAAACGAGGTTTTGATGGTTTGGACTTAGATTGGGAGTATCCGAAAGGATCTGAGGACAAAAAGAATTTTGTTTTATTGCTTAAAGAATTGCGAGAGGCTTTTGAGGCAGAATCACAAGAGATGAAGAGGCCCCGATTACTGTTGTCCGCTGCTGTGCCTGTTGGTCCAGATAACGTTCGGGGTGGATACGATGTTCCCGCAATCGCCAGTTACTTAGACTTTATTAACGTGATGGCGTACGATTTCCATGGCAAATGGGAACGTGAAACTGGCCACAATGCACCATTATATGCTCCATCATCTGATTCGGAATGGCGCAAGCAACTTTCAGTTGACAATGCAGCAAACATGTGGACGAAAATGGGAGCTCCAAAAGAGAAATTAATCATTGGAATGCCAACTTATGGGCGTTCGTTTACGTTATCAAATACAGCGAAACATGGACCCAATGCTCCAGCGACTGGTGGTGGACGCGAAGGTGTGTACACAAAGGAGAGTGGCTTTTTAGCATATTACGAGATTTGTGAAATGCTTCTTAACGGCGCCGTGTATGTGTGGGATGACGAAATGAAAGTTCCTTATTTAGTTGACGGCGATCAATGGGTAGGTTTTGACGACGAGCGTTCCATACGTTCGAAAATGAACTGGATTAAAGCGAATGGATTTGGAGGGGCAATGGTGTGGACCATTGATATGGATGATTTTAAAGGGGAAGTGTGCGGGGGCCAAGTTAGATATCCTTTAATCGGTGCCATGCGCGAAGAATTACTTGGAATATCAAGAGGCAAGGATGCTAAAGATGTTAACTGGGAAGAGGTTGCAGCCACGTTCGAAGACTTGGAAGAGGTTTGTATGATTAGCATATCTTGATCCATATATTTATATGATCTGAATATATTCACCCACTTACAATAATGGATTTTAGGAAGAAAAACCTGAACCTATCAAAATCTCTGTTGAAGAAATTCTTGCTAAAGTTCGTAAGCCTGCTAAAAAGCAAAAAATTAAGTCTGGATTAATTGCTGTTGAGCAAAACTGTAAGTTCTCGACAACCCCCAATTTTCGTCCGGCCGAGTCGATATTATTTCAATTGTTTTTCCAGCTCGACCCGGTCAAGTCTTCTGCTATTTAACTAGTTGGTCTTCAAAGCGACCTGGCGCCGGCAAATTTGATTCAAGTAGCATCGATAGCAAACTATGTACACACATTGTCTACGCCTTTGCTACTTTAAAAGATCATAAATTAGCCGAAGCTAACGACGAGGATTCGGAGAATTATGAAAAAGTAATTGCTTTGCGAGAAACGAACCCAGATTTACAAATATTATTAGCAATTGGTGGTTGGGCATTCGGCTCGACGCCATTCAAGGAACTCACGTCTAACGTATTTCGTACGAACCAGTTTGTATACGAAGCCATTGAATTTTTGCGAGACTACAAATTTAATGGCCTTGATGTGGATTGGGAGTACCCTAGAGGGTCTGACGACCGCGCCGCTTATGCGAATATATTACGTGAACTTCGCATAGCTTTCGAAGGTGAAGCAAAATCATCAGGTCTGCCTCGGTTGCTCTTAACAGCTGCTGTTCCTGCCTCTTTTGAAGCTATTGCAGCTGGTTATGATGTTCCTGAGATATCAAAGTATCTTGATTTTATTAACGTTATGACATATGATTTCCATGGGCAATGGGAACGAACTGTTGGGCATAATTCACCACTCTTTCCCCTAGAGTCGGCTACTGGATACCAGAAAAAATTAACTGTCGATTATAGTGCACGAGAATGGGTAAAGCAGGGGGCACCCAAAGAGAAACTGTTAATCGGTATGCCGACCTACGGGCGAACCTTTGAATTGGTAAACGAAACACAATTTGATATTGGTGCTCCGGCGTCAGGAGGCGGCAAACCCGGAAAATTTACTAACGAAGCTGGCTTCTTGAGTTACTACGAAGTGTGCTCGTTTTTAGCCGCCGACAACACAACCCTTGTATGGGATTCCGAACAACAAGTACCATTTGCGTATCGTGAGAATCAGTGGGTAGGTTTTGATGATGAACGCTCGTTGAAGACGAAGGTAAATTAAAATATTTTTTAATATGTTGCTTGAATTACAAATTAAATTCGTGCACCATCTATGTAGATGGAATGGTTAAAAGCGCAAGGCTTCGGCGGCATTATGGTTTGGTCTATTGACATGGATGATTTTTCTGGACGCTGTGGTAGTGGTAAATATCCGCTTTTAAATGCCCTAAACGATGAGCTTAAAGGATACAAAGTAACATTAGAATACGATGGTCCGTATGAAACGCATGGTCCCCGTGGTGCCTATACAACGAAAGACCGTAAGTGCATAACCATTACCTATATACTGGCCTTAATACCAATGCTGTCACATACCCATGCAAAATTTATCTCTTTTTGTAGCACATGAAGTTTTCTGCGAAGAAGAAGATGGCCACATAAGTTACCACAAAGATTGGAATGATTGTTCTTATTATTATATGTGCGAGGGTGAGCGTAAACATCACATGCCTTGTCCAGCGAACCTCGTTTTTAACCCACAAGAGAATGTATGCGATTGGCCTGAAAACGTGGAAGGTTGTCATGTAGCCACAGACGCTCCTGCCTAAAATATACAATAAGCTACAACAACATTTGCAAATATTTTCCATATCAACTTAACAAGTTTACACTATTATCGATGCCTTCATTCGTCTTTAAACTGTAGCCACTTTCAGACAATTTATTACAAGGACGTTAATTTCAAAATTAAAAAAGGACGTAGACATATGTTTACACATTTATTTACCTAAAAGATATATCCATACTAACATGTACATGTATGCATGTATGTATGTATGTATGTATGTATGTATATATATATATATATATATATGTATGAATGCGCATATACATTGCAGTGCATGCGAGAGTGAACTTTATTTAATTGTAGTCGCCTTAAAACTGCCAAAATATGAAACAAAAAGATTTTCACAAATATAATTATTATTGTTATTATTATTATTATTATTATTATTATTATTATTATTATTATTATTAACACTATTATTCACTGCCTTGCCCGAATGAAATCTTTTTGTTCCAGCGAAACATTCCAGTAGTCCGTCAAATTACGAAAATATATTTTTTTACACAAAACTGTGATAATTCATTGATTAAAATCGAATTAAAATTTTTAACCAACATTTGTATATGCAATATATGTATATACATACGTACATATGCGTGTACGTATGTACATGAAGGTGTTCAAGGTACTCTTATCTAAATTTGTTCACAGTATATTATATATACACACTCATTGTAAATTATTATTTTTATTTTTATTTTTTTTTTTTTAACTTAAACATATGTATGTGCATATCGAAGCTGCCACAATATCCAACATATCTAATGAAAACATTTCTTCGGCTTGCAACAATATTGCAAACGTGCACGAATTTTTTCACATAAATTGTTTTATTTTATGTCTTACAAGCTAAAGGAAAAGTAAACATGCATATGTACATATATGTATTATAGTGTTATATAGTTGGTAAAAATAAGTTGGAATATAATAAAGTTTAAAAACATTAAAAGATAAAACCAATAATTACAAGTCCAATGAATCGTCACCACACCCCAAATAATAAAATGAGTGAAAAAGTAATGAATGGCGATTTGCTGCACATTTAGTAATATTTAGCATTTCGCTAACATTTCTAATCAACCTAATTATTTTCGCATGGATTTTAAGAAGCTTCTCGGCAAGGATCGCATTAAAGTTTTGCCGACAAGTTTATGGGTTTATTTACGAAGCTTCCTGGTGGGCATATAAATGGTGATAGTCGACCTCTGGCTACGTGTACTCCAAGTTCCGAAATCTTTATATTGCTCTGAATTTAGAATATGACGGATAAATTGGTTGCTTGTTGGTCCTTGAATAAGCACCGCGAACTGAACTTGCCATTTGCTAGAGATGTTCCTTATCGAAGCTATGCAATCGACATCCGAATTTTCCTTATTGCATTCGCAGAGACACTCTTCACCACAATAAAAACTTAGGCAATTACAACAGTCGCACAATATCTTGCAATTCTGTTTACTTTTCAAATCAGAAATTGAATGGTTATTAGGCTTGTCGCTCCAACTCCGATTTGAGACCACTGAAATTATTGCTGTTAAAAAAATAATCCGGAAGAGAAGTTGCGGCCCACAAACATCCAGTTTAAGCGCAGCTATCGCGTACATTTTTACAATTAAGCAATCGAACAGTCCAAGTTTAACTTTATGAAAAGAAACGAGAAATACTTAAAAATTGTTGCACCAAGCCCGGGTGAAAATGCTAAGTACTAAATATTCATCCCGCTTAGATTCCAAAATATTCATTTATTTATGCATATTAGGCTTGTAACCCAGCAATATGTAAAATCACTTCAAATCACTGTGCTGTATGTGTGTGTGTATAACATAAGAAGCAACACTTTTTCATAAAAATGTCCAATTTTTATTCGCGTTATTGGAATGGTCTTAGTTGGGCAACGGACTCGTAACGCACACAAATGCTTATCAAAGCCTTTGCACTATATATGTAAACACGTATATATTTCAATAAATATGACGATCTATGACTTGGCCATCCGGCGTTACGTTTTTATTACCGAAAATTAAGCTTAACATACATTGTTGTTGAGTTTATATAAGAATTCGATAAGACAACTTTATGCAAGAATGTTTCTTACAGCCAAAAACGAACAGTGAGTTGATTGTTGTAGGGCCACTATTCACAAAAACCTAAACAATAATCGCACACTTCATTTAAAGCAAGGCATTTTTGAAATTTCTTTCCCTCGCTTGGTAGTTTTGCTCTCTGCATTCTGAGATGACTGAAACATTTTAACGAAGAATCCACGCACGAACAGGCCTATTTGATTCCATATTTGGTCTGCGATGAATACAATAATGTTCCAAACCAAATGAAAAACATAGTAAACCCCTTTAGCGAAGTAAAGAAAAAGTGCAATGTAGGCTGTTGTATTGTAATTACTACGTTAACTGAAATTTTTTGATATGTCCCTGAAAGCTCTACTTGAATGTCATAAATAATATAGATTACACACATGCACACGTTGATGCTTATATATTAATTGAAGGTAACGCATAACCGGCAGTAAACCACGCATATGATATTTTTCTTATTCCTTAAACCATCGAGAAGCATTGAAGGCTTTAACCAACTTCCGAGTTGGTAGCGAACTTGGAAAAGATTTCAATCACCTTTAATAGGTAGGTAATATACAAAAATAATAAACAATATTTCCCAATCGCATTTGATAAATTTTGCTTTATGTATATATTTTGCATAAATATGCATTTTTAAGAGTTAGTTTTATTTTAACGACGTTTGCCTTTGCCCTTTTTGCCGCCCCCTCCGCCCGGATTTGACTGATGATTCTGCTGGGAATGCTGATAACATTCAGCACCGGACTTAACTTGACGTGATTTCAATTGCGGTATTTTTTTGGATACATATAACAAAACCGCTTCACGACTTCCAAATTCAGGATTGCAAAATGACCCATCATCATTACGCATTTGAACGCGTATTCTACCGCGGTATTGCGGTTCCTGTAAAATATGTGATTAGTACAAATAAAAAAAAATGATGAATAAGTTTATTAACTCTGCTCCTCTCTCTACTGTACTCCTTATTTTCTACTCCAACCCTTAAATTAGTAACCGAGAGCACGTCTCTTATTTCTGCACACGTTGGATTTTCGACACATTCCTCTTTAGCCAAGCGCCGACCTTCCTGACGAGATTTTTTACTATTTATGTAGGCCGGATAAATGCAAATCCATCTAAGACGAAAACTTAAAATTAACACAAGGCAATTGGCCGCATTCAAAAATAGTACTAGCCTTTCTACGTCACCATGCTTCTTTGATGGATGAAAATTGGTACGTATAGGAGGTGATGTAGCCATTTTTTACAATAAATATTTTTAAGCTAAAATCTTTCGCTCAAATATTTTCTAAATAAACGCTGTTGCCACGTCTCCTAATGAAAGCTATTCAATGTCAAAGACAAAGATGGACGCTAAGATTTTTTAAAACATTTTTTTATTTGACAAATTAAAGATAACATTGGTATTTCTATCAAAACACATATTTCCAGGTATTATAAACAGCCAAAAAACGAAAGCAATCGAGGATTTACATTTAGTAGTTTATTCCCTACAGTTGTTTTGTAACAAAAGGATATAGGGAACTGATAATGTGGCATCTTTTACGTTTTCGGATTAAAAACTCCCAAGTGTTAAACACAGTGGGCAACCGCGCTGCCATATAGTTTTGCAGGAAAATGTAAACAAAAGCATATCGTTTTAGAACCAAAAATAAAGAAATTAACATAAACATAAAAAAAATGTATAATTCTTAGTCTTGAGTTTTGCTAATTAGACTGAAGAGATATTGTTTTGTTAATCTGCATAATCTGCTTAAGTTTGATCACATGTACACGCAAATAAAGCAAAAGGATGTAACGCGCAAGAAGTACAGACAATATATTTTAAATTTAGAAATTATTTATCTCATATATAAGTCTATTTTGTATAATTTTAAACGCTTTTATGTTATACGATTTAAAATTTTAGTTTATATTCCATATTATTTTAAAGCAATGAGGGAAGTTTGTTTACAATTTTAAATATATATATCAAATCAAAACATTTAAACTATTTTGGTTCATTCATTATTTCTTGAGTCAAACAGAAATTTCGTTTGCTTTTACATTAATTTTCTAATCGTTGTTTTTCATGTATTTGTTGTCACATTTACGTTAATTTCTTCAATTTTATTGCTCAAACCATATGTTTTTGTTTATATCTAAAACGAATCTTTATCGTTTCTTTTAAAATAGTATGGTAGTGCGGCTTCTGATTATGTTTTCACTTGAGAGTTGTTAACCCGAAACAGAATAACGCGTTATTTTGTTAAGGCTGTTGTGTCAGCCCGTCCCAGCAGTCTGTTAGTAATACAATATTAAGCAACTCTTTTTAATGAAGCACGTGCTTACCAGCAAGACTGAAGCGGTGAAAAATACGATTTATTTTTTGGTTGATTAAAATGGAAAAATTCAAAAAGGAAGAGCTACATAAAGGAAAAAAATTGAAGTCTCTAAAGAAGAAGGTTTCTATAAAACCCAAAACCAAAGTTGCGGTGCCAAAACGGCTAACTGAAGGAAAACTAATAGGAAAGAAAAATAAATCCAAAACAGTATCAAAAGTAGCCACGAAAGAAAGTGGAAAATATGAAGAGAACTTAGAAAAGGAACTTGACGAGGAAACAAAACATTCTACAGTCTCGAAGAAAAGAAAAGCGGCTAAGAATACAACGGATGAACAGTATGATAACGGAAAGAAAGCGAAAGTTTTACCAAAGGTTGAGCCGATAGAGCTTGAAGAGAAATTTAACTCTATTGTTAATTACGGCAAAGTGCAAAAGATATGTAAGGCTCTCAAAACATTAGTTACAAAGGAAGTTGATGAGAAAAAGAGTATCTTTGATGATTATCGTTACTTGCTGAACGTGACTAGTTACAAAATTGCGGATTGTCCAAAGCGTATGGTTAAGTTGTAAGCTTGGAGTTCCTGATTTTTGTTTCATTAATTATATATATGAATTTTAGGAATCTGAAACACCCATTGGTTAATACTGACGAAGACGATGTGATTATTATTGTCGCAGATCTAAAGCGGGGAGGCGATCCTGAACTTACCATTCAACATTACGAAGATATTTTTCATAAAATGGAAATTACGGGGCTTAAAATTATGCCTTTTAGACAATTGCGGAAAGAATATACAACATTCGAAAGTCTTCGGAAGCTGGCTAATACATACGATTATTTCTTGTGTGATGGACGCATCATAGGCCACGTAAATGGTTTTTGTGGCAAAATATTTCAAAAATCGCGGACAACGTATCATTCTGTCCGCTTAAATAATCCGCAACTTTTCAAAAAAGAAATTGAACGCTCACTGAAACGAACCGCTTATCGACAACTGGAAAAGGGAAATCTATTTACTATTCCTGTTGGAAACAATCGATTCTCGCCACGCGAGCTAACTGAAAATATTTTGCATATTGTTAATCAATTGAAGGCAATATTTCCAGGGGGATTAAATAACATACGTAATATGCATTTAAAAATTGATATAAAAGGAACGTCATCTTTGCCATTGTACGTTAATTTGGCTGATCCTCCCGCAGAATGCCCTTACGTCATCGGTCCGCGCGAGCAGCGCGCATTGAAGTTGAAGAAAAAAGCGAATGAAGTTCTTTCCAAATTTTCATTAACGAAAACCGGCCAATTCGTTAAATTAAACAAACTACAATTAAGACGAAAACATAACTTAAAGGAAGCTCGAGAAAACCTTTCATCAAAAATTCATACTGGATCAGATGTAGATAATAGTGATGATATCCTGAAACAGGATATTGAAGATGAAACCGTATAATGCCGAGTATAAAATTTGTATTTTAAAAAATGAAAAACTTGTCAATTGCAGTAATGGAAAAGTAAATATACAGTTGTTCAAATATGAACAGACAATTTTTAACTTAAATATGATAATTTTGTCTAATTATTCGCTGGGTCCACTCTAATTTAACATAAAAAAACTAAGTAAATAAATAAAGTTTTGTATATTAATAAAAACATATTAATATTAATTTTAATATATTAACAATAACTAGTTGAGAAATAGTATCAGTATCATCGTGAATGCTATGGCATTCACTATATATTTAATTGCATTTGGGATATCACAAGAAATTTCTAAATAAATTCATTATCTCACTCAAAGTTTCAATGTTCGTCAATGTGTTAATTCCGATCACAAACTCAGATTTTGAGAATCGAATTCAACCAAAAAAAAAAACATAAAAATGTCGATGTTGCTATTATATGACAGTTGAAAGTAATAAAAAAATTTATTTTTTAAGATTACATGTATCAGCCGTAGTTAGTTTTACGCGGTTAGAAGTTCAAGATATATTAATGTCTTCAAAGGCTATTAATGTAATGTAATGATAGAATCAGTGAATAAATCTTATTTTTATGTGTCCGTCAAATAAACTTACTTACTACTTACTTTGTTTATTACGAAAGGGCTTTATATATTTCAAAATTTCTTCATAGAATATTGAAATTATCATTTTTACTTATAGATAAATTTGAGTTTTAAAAATTTATTTATCTTAATTCGGGAATGCGTTGTTTAGGGATAACTAGTATGTTCAAGTATTTTATAGCACAGCTCGCGAAAAACTTTTTATAATGAAGTAACTACAAAAGAAGTATACGATCTCGCGTATTGAAAGTTCGCTTGGCATCTCTAATTAAAGTAACAATTCCTTCAATTTTCCGACAAAAACCAACCATCATAACTACAGACCGAACAATCTTTATGTGGCAACATTGTGTATTAAAAATTTCATCAAATTTAATAAATTTGCTAAATAAATAGTAGTAAAATGAAATAATTAATAGATTTCATCTTTTTTCAAATTAGAAATTAAATTAATTACGGCTAAAATTGTTCAGATTTTAACATTACAACTACTTTGTTGGTATAATGATGTCTGTTTAATAAAAACAAAAAAAAAACAAAAAAAAAAAAAGAGAAAAGAAATGGTAATAAAGAAATAAAAAAAATAACATTGAGAAAAATTGTAAAGTATAACAAATATATTGTATCATAACATGAAATAAACTGATTTGATTGGAATAAGTCTTATTTAAATTCTTCCGTATTTATTATTAATATTCATACGTGAGTGCTAGACAAATTTTGCAAAGACGACGCGAGCATATACATATGAATGCATATATCCACATGTCTCTAAAAGGATTCTACTATAATTTCCACGTTTTCTTATTCGTGTTCAAAACATTTTCTTAAAAACCACCGCAGACATTATATATACACGTTAATATCTTAATGCCATTATGCCAAAAATATATATGAAGAAACCTCTTGCCAGTATGGTGATACGAAATCGGAATACTATTAAGGATGTTGTTATAACGGTAAGTCTTTTTCGAAACATGTAACGCAATGCCACATAATCCCGACTATATATTTGCAACTACTCTCTTCACAACTTTTTGAAACAACCGTCCGCAAACTTATATATCGTTTGTACACTGTTTGAAGTGCAAAAAATCAAATGATTTGTGTAAAGTATGCGAATGGCAAATGTTTCTTATTGTATATTCATGGTTCTTAGACCTCGCATGTCAAGCTGCTCGCTACAATTAGTTTTTATCCCTTCTGCTCGGAGTATATCGATATTATATTGTAGTCCTTATTTACTATTCCTAAAAAAGTGGAAACAAACATTTCGGTTAATGATTAAAAAAAGGAGTGTATTTACCTGTTTTCTTTATTTAATAATAATGGAATTGCAAAGTAACCAGTATGCAGCTCTTTAAAAATTAATAATAATCTCTCAAAGTACAACTATTCACCAAATCATTATGAAAAGCGGAGTCACAGCGGAGCGTCACTCTTATCGTTGCCTACAAGGATATATAAAATAGCTTGAAAAGTAAAAAAAAATTTACAAAAAAATGCTTATTCTTTTGTGTTGTAGAAAATAGGCTCATTAGAATCATTTTGGGATCACGTGGATTTTCCAATTCGATTTGGTATAGCGGACCGATAATGTATTTAGTAAAATGTAGTTTTCCACTTTAACCAAGCTTTAACCGTTTTGTCAGGAGATTTTCAAAAGTAAATAGCAAACTTTTTATATTTACGTACACGACTGAGGACAACTGAAGATAACATTCGGAAATATGGTTTATAACGTGCGTATATTTCTGAGTAACGTATAATTCTTTGATGATTACAATGTGTGCATCCGTTTGTGCTTGAAATGCTTGCCGTGTAAAAAATGGAATAGGAAGCCAAAGTTGGCACTGTTAAGTATTGTTAACTGATGGACAAAAATTAAATTTCGGAGAACAGATAGAAAACCATATAATCGCTAAGTGATATTATCCGAAAGCCTACGAGTTGGACACATTTAAAGTGTTGATGTCAATATGTTCTTGATCGATGTCAATCGACGGATATCAGAAATTACTTACAATATGAATATAATTTTGCTAATTGTTTGAAACTAGTATTCTGATATTTTCGTCATTCGCGAAGGCATTTGAATTAAGAATATTTTTGTACTTTAAATCGTTACGTATATTTGTAAGTTGCTGAAGTCCTCAAAAGTTTTTAAAAATTGGCAACAAACTAACAGAGAATTCTAAAAAAGAAACTCATTGTTTTACGATCCTAAGCGGATTTTGATATCAAACTTTACAGCGAAATATTGGCTAAGACCTTATACACAATGGAAAGAAATCCGCACCATTCGATGCCATCTATGGCAATATATCATGTATGTACCTTACCTTGATTGAATATTCGAAAACAAACGTGGAATTATTTTCGTATTAAAAATTTTTCTTCTCATTCAATTTTATTACTTTTATATGTGCTACATTCAATATATTATGGAATGAACATATTAGCAAATATTTATTATGCCTAAAAAATACTTATTGTACGATTTAACATGAACAGTCTCAGCCTCTTTTTCTCTACATCTTTCTAAATTTGTTGCTATCATTGCCGTTAGATTAAATTGTGCTTGGCAGTGACCGCCACTGTTAGAAAAACAAGAGGGTCTTGCGGAGTATATACAAAATTTACTTTCCAGCGTTCCGTTTATCCTATTGTTTGGTAATGGATGTTGTACCTTGCAATCATATATTGAAAATATATATACGTATATATGTACGCATTTCAGGAATAGACATTAAATAGTAAATAATAAGCAATAGAAATATTACAGAAAAATGAATGATTTTGAATATATTTATTAAATTTTCATAGTTTTTTATTCCATTTTCTTCCTATCATAATTGCCATTGAAAATTCCATTTAATTTTTATTTGGGATTGGCTTGCGTCTTTCCATTGTTGTTGTTGTATGCATTGCTTCTATTATCCTTAATCGACGTAGTACCAATTCTTCTCATTGCTGTCAATAGTTTACAGAACTTGCGTGATAGTACCACGCAGGTACCAGGAGCCCGCTTGAATGATGCGCAAATTTTTGTTTTTTTAACAAAGGGGAAATCTGGAGGTGGCAAAGCTTATCCACAAAGTCGAAGGATTGAAGAGTGATAATAAAAGGAAAATAATCTCTTGTTTTTTGTGGGCAAATCTTTAAGTTGCGTTGATATACGTTTTTGTTCATAGAGATAGGGAATAGACATGAAATGAATTTACATTTGATGATGTCTTCAATATGTCCTTAAAGGACAATCCACATTGTGGTCATACTAATTTATTCCTACCCTCTGATTATGACCATCGTACCAAATCAAAAAGTGGATGAGAAAGTTTTATTCAATTAGATTGAACGCACCTGCATTATATAAGTCGTAGTAATAAAGTACATTAGCAGTGAGGTTGACATAATTTACGAATGTCATATATGTAAAATTAAAAGGTTTTAGTTAGATTAGAAAATGGACGCCATCTGCCTAAATTAGTAGTATATCCCAAACGGATTCTCTTCAGACAATTATTGACTGACTACATTTGTCAGTTTCCACTTTCTCGGGGGTCTTCTTGTTTTCAACCTGCCAGAACAAATCGTACGAATTGTCTTTCAAATTTTTGTCCAGAAAGTGACGGAAAGCTTGTATTTTTTATGACATTATCACAAATTGTAACAATTTTCACGTTTCAGCTGTTCTTAGTTTTTTAATGTTACGGTCAACGTAAGTTTTTATTTTTTAGATTTTCAAGGACAAAATTTCCTCTTATTTCGTATTAGCTTTTTTAAGTTGTCAATATAATCTGCTTGTAGTATTATTAATTTTCCCCTAAATTCTCTCTATATTTAAAATATATGTCACTTATGAAATGGTTCTGAAAGTAGCTGCCATATTTAGAGAAAACACAGACAGCAGTAGTTATCGCTTTTATTAATAAAGTATCTTGAGAGCTTAAAGCTTGTTTAATTGCGGGAAAGCGTTGCACATACAAAAAGTGTAAACAATAACGCTCTTGTGAGGGTCGCTTTGGGAAATTCTTAGCCCACTTATTTAATAGGTATGTAGGCCATTAACACACAAAGCGAAAAGTGTTTTATTTGTATACACGAAAGTGAACTGAAAGCAGCGGTTTATTCACGTTTTATTTGTTTCCAAAGATGCCATGCCACGTTATGATGATAGAAAGTGAAAGTTGAATATTTAAATTGGGGAAAAATAATCCCCATTCATTCCATGCAATGCAAATAGGTAAATATGTTTCAAGTGTAGTTTATTATCAAAAAAAAAAAAAGTTTTTTTTTTTTCGTATAACTATCGATATGTATGCTTTTCATGTTCTGTTATGTTTCTGTCTCGTAAACGTATAAAAGCAAGCAGACAGGCAAGCAGGCAGACAGACAGACAGGCAAGCAGGCAAGCAGGCAGGCAGACAAGCAAGCGGACACGCAACATGTTTGCCATTGATTAGAATTTCATTTTCAATGTCGTAGAAGTTCGGTTTGCTTAATATTTGGCAAATGTTTTTAACGCTATAAGCTTTTCTATCGCCTGCAAAAGCTTTATCGTGCTTATTGTTCCAACAAATTGAGAAAATACAAAACACATACAGTTTCCGCAGACCTTGCTGTGAGATAAAGTCAAAACATGTGCAGATTTAAACGAATTTACTCAAAATGCATTATCAAGTTGTATTGGCGTTCGGAGATATTTCCTTTGGTGGCTATGAGTAATCCAACAATATGTCTTTGAAGAAACAAAAAAGAAAAAAAATCATTTGTACGATAATTATTATTTGAAACTGATTTTTTTTGTTAAGAACAAAAATATATATTTTCAGACAAAGTTTGTTTCAATATTGAGTGCAATAAAATAATAAAGAAATAAATTCTAATAAATGTAAAAAGGAAAAAGAAGAAATCACTAAAATCAATGCTAAGAAGTGTGATTATGTAAAATGGAAATAATCGATAGAAAGTAATGAAAGTAGTGAGTGATACCTATGTTGGTTGTATGGTTTTGTAACTTAAAAATACCTCCGACAATGGGACGGATTAATGGGATTACATTTAAATTTTATTTGAAAAACTTTTTGGTTTTATTTTGATTTTTGTTTAATAGGTTTTAAGACTTTTTCTTCTTATTGCACACTAACGATCCCGATGAAGTTGTCGTTTTAATGTAAAAATTTGAAAGCTTTTTTTGTTTTCTTTTTTTTATTATTTCTAAAGAAAAAACGGTTTGAATACGAAAGTTCTCATTAATAAAAATCTCGTATAGAAAAATGCAAGCATTCACTGAACAGTTGAAATGGAAGCCTATAATCTAAAAACCTATGTTTTGACTCTATATATATGTGTGTGCATATATTATAAATGTACACATGTATGTATGGCAATGGTCAAAGGAATGTAAATATTTGATATTATTTTTAATCATTTCTTCAGTTACAATATAGTAATTATAATAAGCATTAGGACACGAGTTCCATTTTCATCACCAACGAGGGAAAGCGATTTTTTTGTTATTTTTATGTGACTCATACGCTGCGTTAGCTATATGTTTGTATTGTACTGCATACGACGCATCGAATAAATTGAAAACGGACTTTTAGGCCATTAGGCTATCATTTAAATGTCCCATGTTTCATCTACAATTGTCACTTTAAATCTAATTTCATATAATATTTTACTTTTCATCAAGCATGAATTAATCGTTTGCATCGCTTACTTAAGTCTTTTAAGCATTTTAAATTTAATAATTACGAAAAGTTTTTGAAAAAAAAAACTCTATGACTACGTTATTTGTTAGCCATCACTAAAGTATGGACGTACGTTAGATTTGCAATTCTATTTATAAAACATGGAAATAAACATCACAAACTTCGTAGTGCTACATGCTGCTGATGAGCGTACTATTCGTAGTCGATTTGACTGCATTCGTCTCTTTTTCGAAAATCTTTGAAAAATCGGAAAATTTTATATAGGAAATTGAAATTTAATCGAATTTTATACATTATATATGACTTTATATAGTTATGGATCAAGTTTATATCAAGGAAATAGACGATGTCCGTCCACAGTAGACAAAGATCAAAAAATAGATCCTATAGCAGATATGGCAAGGAAATTTCGTGCAAATATTTATCATCATTACCTATGAGTGCAAAAAGGCAAAATTGTTCTCCTCCATCTTCGTATCTGGCATACGAGATGGTGTTATATTATTTTCTGGTTTCGCTTGTAACATCCGCCCGGAATATGTATCTCAACAGATTATGAATATTCTTAATCAATGCAAGCTTCATGCATGTTTACCATTAGTTTCACTTTCTATGAGAAGACTTCATTTTAAAAGATGATCTACAAAAAAAAAAAAACAAATTGAAATTAAAAAATAATGATATGATAATTTTTAAGGTCAACTAAAACTAAACAACTAAAAACCCGCATAAACTGGTCAATCAGCTGACACGTGCGCATTTCATAGTATATATTATAAAGGATATTTTTTCGCAATTACGGTACATTGCTTTGACTTGATGCATATTGAAGGTTCGCACCATGGCGAGTGCAATTTTACACGTATCTTATTTACTGTAGCGGTTTTCAATAAGAGCGATACGTTCTGTTAAAAAGAAAAGAATAGAAGCATTAAAGAGTGAAAAATTAATCATGTTCGATGCAAATAAATTCTTCATAGGACATCATTCGCATGGTCGGTACGACCTACGACATATTGAAGAGAGCACGATGACGAATCCAATTTTCAAATACTTTACTTCTTAATTTTGGACTAGTTTCACGATAGCTCGCTCAATATTTTTTTTTAATGCGCGAATAGAATCATATGCCACAAGGAGAAGTAGTCCTAACGCGTTGAACGCTCCTTGGAGACTATTCGACAATGCAAATACTTGTAAGTGTTCAATCACCAAACTTAACACGTTATAAATCGATTGTTTGACGCGTTGCGTGCATGTAGCCTTATCTTGTCTAAATCAGATGTTGTTTAAATCAACGTCTTCCGCTTGAGGCCAAGAAAAAGTACACTGCTCTTCATACACGGCGTCCGTATACTACACTTTTATGTTTAAAGAATAAAATCCGCCGGGTCGTACCATAATTCCGGCAAACGGTCTCTTAACGGAGTGTAGCGGTGGTTTGTAAATAATTTGCGACTTTAAACTAAGGATGACAATTTTGCTTTTTCACTGAATCACCATCATCATAATCAATATGAAACATGAGAAGATGATTTTCTTCAAAGGATCACCATCATTTTCGATATATTCCAAGGCAAAATCAACGATTTCATGACCCTTGCGACGTTTTAATACGAACGAGAACAATTTTGCAAGTAAATAGACTCAAATCCTCTACTGGAGGTTTGCAAGAATCTCAATTGCTGAAAATGGGCTTAAATTCGATAAATTTCAATTTTCAGCTTGATCACTTCTTTGCTTCATTGGCATGGGGATATTGTGTAAGGAACAAGGGTTTTCGAAATCGAATCGAATCGCACCAAAAATGGGCACCAATAGTGGCCGATTATGATTGCCGTAAATTGATAAAACTGCAAAAATTATTGAAGACAGCGAACACGGACGAAACGATTTTGCGATTAAATGTCTTTGTTAAATAATTCCTGGGCGTTCTCTTTTTTTAAAAGTGTCAGAGTGTTGCAAATCGTTCATAGGAGTCAAGAATTGAAAGGTTAGCAAAGGAAAAGTAAAGGCCTGCCTTTGTGTTCCCAAAAAAGTGTTCGTGGTGGTGAAAATAGTTTTATTTGTTGCATTAACCCGACTACGTTCACGTAATTAGGCATAGTATGTCGAATGTTTGGAGAGTTTCGCGCAAAGCATTGCATGTTCGCGGCCGATCCGTTAATTCGTGATCAAATCGAAAGAAGTCTCATATTCATTTCTCACATAATATGACCTCTACCCATGCATCGGATAACTTTGATGGCAAACCAAAATTTTTCACTTTTGAAGTAAAGATAATTCACGTATAATTCAGGAGAAAACAGTGTACCCAGGAAAATGCTTGGTGTGAGTTGGTCGTCGCTTATTCGAAAACGCATCTGAACGAGGTGTTGCGGCCAATGAGAATTGTCTGTGATAAATTGACATCCCTCAATGCAATTTACTTTCAATAGCCTGGAGCTAGAGGACATTTATCAACTGCGAATATTAAGTTATCGCAAGGAAAGTTTCCAGATCAATTAATTTTACGAAATTTTGACATTGAATGGTCATCTACATTTTGCCATTTGAATGCATCGCGTCATTTTCCCTGGGACCTTTGAAAGGTAGACTTTATCTGGGCTATCCAGCAGCAAATCCGCATTTGAAAACCGATGTACGGATCGAAATTTATGCATTAAACTAGCCGATGTATAGCAATGTTATCAGAAATTTTCATTTTTTGATTTCAACATTGTTTTCATAAATTTTTTAATTATTTTAGCTTTTATTTGAAAAAACACGTAACACTTCTATATAAGTTGTTCCGGATTGTTTAAAGCTGCCAACCTTTCAATTTATGGATGAAACTACATATGCCAATCATGAATATGAGAAGCAGCAAAGTAAAGGAGTAAATTTATGGAAGGCTTATTACAAATATATCAAATATATCAAAGAGTGTGATGAAGAAAAGCACTTAATATATATATTGCTATAAGTCTTGCAATATCCTTGTTTGAGTCCTTTATCCGAGTTCTTGGAAGAACGTGACAAATATACCACTTCTGATATTTAAAATATGGCCGCCATGTTGTTGATTGCAAATGTTGTAGCTCCGTATGGACTTGAACGATTGCAATGTTTCTTGGACGTTTTATGAAATGCAGTTTTTCGTAATGAGCTTAATTCTCACAAAATAAGCAAACGGGCAAATTTAGGATTGGTCTTTAAAAAATTTGGAAAAGTTTATATTTTGCACTAATGGAATACAAAGTAAAGTCCAGAATATCGTAAAGTGCTGTTAGTTCTTTTCAATTATTGTTGGGTGAAATGTATGTATGAAGAGCATGCAAACTTCACTGTCATTTGTCCAGTTTGTAAGTTTGTAGGTGTTCACAATTACGTCCCCAAAATCGATTTCATCTGTGCTTATTTTCTTTACCAAATCCATAATGAAGACTTAGTTAGAGATTCTTTCTATGACTTCACGATTAATGGATATACGAAAAATGTGATCACAAATTTGAAAATATTGTGCCGCAGATGCTTATGTCCGGAGTGATTTGTGATAAGGGGTATATTAAATTTATGCGGGCATATGTAACGCCCAACAAGCCATAAAATGTTCTCAACTTTTATTAGATTTGTCTGCCGGTTTGTCCATCAGTTCATCTGAACTCTGCCCATGTATGTTTGGCGCAAGTTTCAAGATATTTTGATGAAATTTGGTACAAGAACGAACGCTATCGAAAATGATTCCTATTGCGGCACCTTTTCATACCACTCCCCGTATTATCCTTTATTTGGAAATGGTGTTATATGGAAAAAATTTCAATATTCCAAATTTCACGACAAGAATGGCATTTCGGGAAAATAAATTGATTCGGAATCTTTGCATGGTACAAACGCGTTGAAAATTTTTTCGTAATTACTATTTGAAATAAAAATTAACTTAAATGAATTTGAACCACGTAGGTCTATATTTTGAATTCCAGCCCACATGAAGTTTCTGGTGAAAATCGAGTGACAAAATTACATTCGGTCGTGGCCGAATCTTTGATACCCATTGCCGTGATCCTAAAAAAAAGAAAAATTAAAACAACAAGCAAGTGTCCTTAGAAATGTTTCAGTCCCTTCAAAATTCTTTTGCAAAATTGTAGGCGATATCTTCATTTTCGCTAACGGTAAAATGTTTACCACAAATACTACGCAGTTGTGCAGACAAACAGATAGACAAACACACAGACGACATACTTTGATGTTTTCCGAAATTGAAACTGGCCAAGAATTTATATACTAT